TCACGACTGGACGATTAATGCCTCTTTTTCGCACCCAAGACTACGATCTGTTCATACATGACTGCGGTACACGTAAAGAAACTAAGTAACTTTCTCAGAGACTAAAACATTTGTTAGTAAACGGCATAATAATGTCTCTGCTAGCAGTAAAAATAAGCTGCAAATAATCCAAGGTCCAACTCTCTAAACACCAGATCACTGTTTTAAATAAGGCTTATACTTTAATATTTTGAATCTCCGCTACTTGAAACTACATCTGAAGAAAATTCAAGTTCTTCGTAAACTTAATGAGAACATAATCAAACTCTTAACAGAAGACATTAAACCACTGATAACACAACCGAACTTGACCGTAACAGAATTTAAAGCCATTAAATCCGTAAAAGTAAACAATAATTTAAAGACCGCTATGGTGTTTATGGATAAGACAGACCACACCAACAAGTGTTATGACGTGCTAAATACCTCATGCCTCCATCTGGCTACCAATCCCACCTTTCTTCTCCACAAACTTCGAGGTCTTTTACACGGTACTGTCCAACATAAAAACGTAGTTACCAAATTCTTCAGCTTCATCGAAACGCCTTTCAAGTTCAATTGTAACCACTTCCCACTAGTTTTACTGCTTACCTAAAATACATATATCCTGATATCCCCTTCAGACCTACTGTCTCTACTGTGAGCTGTTTTTTCGAAACTGACTGCCAAAATATTAGAACCCTTAAATGAAAGTAACCCAACATGCATCAAAATTTCCTACCACTTTTACAAGAACAGACAATCCTCAAAGAATGGAGCATCATGCTCAGTTACGATGTTACAGAGATATTTACTAACAAACCTATTAACATAATTAGTAAAGTTCTGTAAGGAGATAACTCACTTAAGCAGCATATTAATAACTCTCTGTTACCTCCGAATGCTGATATCGTAAAGCTGATAACTTTCTCTATGGTAGAGGCGAATTATTTCTATCTCGATGATTGTTTTTTCAAACAAGTCAAATGAGCACTCGGGTAATTTGCTTTCCCCTTCCTTACCGACATTTTCATGGAGCACTTTGAAAACTGTCTGGAGATGAAGCTAGACCTTTTTCCAAGGGTTTTCAAATTATATGCTTATTTTTTGCCATCTGTTCGAGTGGTGACGAACAAGTGCTAGACCTCCTCAAGAGCCTATTCCTCAAAATATCGAGTTAACTACTGAAAGAGAAAACAAATCCAGTCTACCATTTCTTTATATCTTAATTAGTAAACTGCTATAAACTAAAGTTTATCGTTAACCCATAAACGCTGAAAAAAGTGTAAATCACAATCCTTTAAACAATAAACGCTGCGGCCAATTCTGACGTTGGCGGTCCCAAGCTCCGATGGGAAAGGAGGAGGGTTGGAGACCATAACGATGGCTCCTTAAAAATTTAGCCACCAGCCCCTCATGCTATTGTCCGTCAAAGAATATTATACCGCCTCGGTCGTCGTCCTGGTTACTAAGGGCTGCGGAGGTTGTTGAAGGACTGAGGTAAGCAGCGAAAAGTCAGCCATTAGAAAATGCTGATCACTTTCTGACAGCCGTATGGGTTGCAGCACGTTAATGGCTACCGAAGATTGATGAAACGACGATAAAGGTATCAATCAGCAACAAAGTCGGGACCCGTTCTGAAAACGGAGGTGGACAGCGCGATGCCAATATGATACATCAGAAAAGCTTCTACGAAAAGGACATCGCCAGTGGGAGGACAGGCGGAAATTGGAATATATCCTCACCCAGAGGGAAAGAACAAGAGTTAGTTGATGAGGCCATAAAGTACCAACTCTACATAGTTGGACCCTCTTCATCGAAGCAGGCTCTGGAATTCTGAGCCTCTTCGAGTAGAAGCTATTTTACTCATGCATCGATATCAGGAAGTGCGCTCAGGTCGGCGTTGGTGTTCGGCTAGAACCCAACCTGACTGATAGAATCATTGACTCGATGACAATCCTCTGACAGAACCTATATGGAGACTAAAGATCTGACCTTGTGACAACACCATGCGCTAATCTAAAGAATATAAGTCATTCCTTGAAGAAGTGCAGTGTACTCCGTTCGAAGTGCCGACGATGGAGACCATCATTCGAATGGGCGATTTTAACGCACATATCTGAGCAGACAGAAAATTAGACAGGCGTTATTGGAAAGAACGCCCCTAGCGATCTCAAAAATGACGGCATGAAATTGATGTGGTTTTGCGCAAACAATGGATAGTCCATTATCAACATTTTCTTCGAGTACTGAAGTGTGCAGCAGTATACCTGGTACAGTGAAGCTTCTGCAAAGAGGATTCGAATTGCACCATCTGACGCCGTGTAATGGATTTTGATGTTAAAAGAGATAAAGAGCTGTTAATCCACCATCACCTTGTTGTTGGCACGTTACGCTCTACGAAATGGAGTACCATACGAAGGTCTGGTAGCAGAAGCAACCAGAGAATCAAATGGGAAACACTTCTTCGGTGGACAGAAGAGCGAAATTTGCAAACTACATCGCACGAGGGTTTGAACAGATCCCGGTGATCACAACTGATGTGCAAACCGAGTGGCGGCTCTTTAAGAGCGGCATACTCGAGGCTGCCGCCAAATGCTGCGAATTTAAATAGGTTGGCCTAAAGCCTAGAGGTCAGAAAAGATCTTCCTGGTGGATATAAGAGGTACAACTGACAGTTAAAGAGAAGAAAGCAGTGTTCAAGAAATGGCTTGGAAACAAGGAGCCATCTACATGTATGCGATATATCGAGGCACGCAAGGCGGCAAAAGCCAAGGCTGATTCCTGGGAGAAGTTCGGTGAGGTGTTGGAGTCGACTTTCCACATGGCAAACAAAGTATTCTGGCAGACCACCCGCCGGATCCAAGGTGAAAAGAAGGGCAGTCTCAGAGTCTTGAAGGACAGATCTGGACACCTTCTTACCAAGGATGATGACATTCTTCGGCAACGGAGGGAGTACTTTGAGGAACTCCTTAACCCCGCGTAACCGTAGGAAGACTCGTCTGTAGAGCAGAAGAGTATGGATATTACTATCTCTGCAGATGAAATTGCACAAGCTGTGAAAACCTTAAAAAGTGGAAAGGCTGCTGGAGATGATGAAACCCTCACACAAAAGGTGAATATGGCATGTGCTCCCTGACACGCCTCTCAAGCTGCAGTAGCAACTGGGAAGATATCAACGGACTGGAGGACAAGAGGAGTTTCAGCATCTCTGTTCTAGAATAGAGACCATAGGAAGTGGTCTAATTATTGGGGCATTACGTTACTGAGCGCCCCGGGTGAAGTAAAGTAAAAGGTAAAGTTTATGACAAAGTGCTAGAAAGGAGGTGCCTTGGAATTTGTAGACTCGAAGATACAAAGCCTGCCCGAAGCACAACTGACCAGATATTCGTCCTACGTCAGATGTTGAGAAATCGTGGGAGTACGGCCGTCCGGTGTACATGTCGTTTGTTGACCTGAACAAAGCTTATGACCGAATACCGCGCATCACTCTGTGCGCACCAGTTACTACGGGCCATCCAGTCACTATATTCTGAAAACAGGTGCTGAGTCAGAGTTAATGGCATTAAGTCGAAATTATTCATCGTTCGCACCGGTCTCCACGAGGGCTGCATCCTGTCCCCTATCCTGTTTGTGTTGTACATGGATAGAATAGTCAGGAGCTGCCAAGGCGATGAGGGTATCGGTGCATGAGATGTGAAGTCGAGAAGGTTGCTGTTTGCAGACGACCTTATTTTATTAGCATCTTCTGAAACTGATCTTCAGTGCTCCTTAGAAAGGTTCACAGCCGAGTGCGACGTAGATAAAATCACACAAGCTGTGAAAAGTTTGAAAAATGGAAAGGCTGCTGGAATTGATGAAGCATGCCCTGAGATGCTCAAGGCATTAGGCGAACAAGGCATGTGCTGGCTAACACGTGTCTGTCAAACTGCGATGACTGCAGGAAAGACACCAGCGGACTAGAGAGCCAGTTATAGAACCCCTGTTCAAGAACGGAGACCACCCGCATTGTGGCATTACCTCACTGAGCCTTCAGTATAAAGTATAGAAAAAGACGCTAAAAACGAGTTGCCGTGGCATAACTGACTAATGACTCAAAAATACAAGAAAAGCAGTGTGGCTTCCGGCCCAGCTGAAGCAGTTTGACCATGTATCCGCCATACGTCAGATTCTTGATGAATCGTAGGAGTTCGCTCATCCGGTATGCACGGTGACTTTAAGAAATGTCATGACCGGATTAAGCGAACAGTCTGTGGGCATGCCAGCGAAAATATGGGATCGATGGCCAGTTGCTGCGGGTCATTCAATCACTACATGCTGATTGCATATGCTCTGTGAGAGTAAATGGCGCTTGGTCGAAACTTTTCAACGTAGGCACTAATCTTCGCCAAGGCAGCGTCCTGTCCCCTTTCCTGTTGGTGTTTTGCACGGACAGAATAGTCAGGGGC